CACACACACACACACTGTGTTTCTCTCAAATATAACACTGAGTCTATTCACTAGGAGGAGTGTTTCAATCAAAAATAACTGTGCGTGTGTGCATGTTCGATACAGACAGCAAGAGATGGAGTGGTTTGACACTGATGTATCCTTACAGAAATAGATTGTTCAATCTCTGGTTCAATCTTCTCGGCTCCACAAGGGCCCGGCTGACACTGTTGACAAGGTGAAATAGTAGCGGAAAAAACAGAGGAAACATAAGCGAAAAGAAAATGGAGCAGCTATAGATGGAGGGGAGACAGGTGAGGAGAAAGGAGAGGCAGAGGAGAACATGGCGAGATACAGCGTGTGAGTGAAGAAGAAAAAAAGAGTAGAAAACCGACCAAAGTAGATTACAAGAGTGCCTGATTTTACTTCGTCTTTCTGAAAATTCATTTCTAATTGGGCATTGGGAAAGTAGTGGGCACTGTCCACTGGGCCGAGACAGAGCTGTTGAAATGCAGCATAGCAATTTCAACCTACCTTACTTTTCCGGATGTCAACTCTTTCTCTGGGTGTCCTTGTGACTCATTGAATCTTTATGCCTGATTTCTCTCTGTCTGTCTCTCATCTGCCCTTATCTTTGTCTGCACTGTGTTGCCACATTTCTCGTCTCAAAAACAACAATAACACAAAATAATGCAGCAACAGGCAAGTCTAAATGTGACAGGATGCAGGAGAAATCTTGTTGAGGTACAAAAAAAGAAAGCAAGAAGGAGAAAGGAAAAAGATGCAAACAGAATATGAAAACACACATGGCTATTTTGGCTAGTGCGGATACAGATAACTCCTCTTATAATACTTATTTTTTTGTCCATGTGCTCTCTCCAACAAGGGTCCAGGGTTAAGTAATTTTCAAGCAGCTTGACAGCATGTGAACGCAGTGTGAAGAAATTGTGCTACAGTAGCAGCAGGGTAATCGAAAAGTTGCACAAGACGGTGTGTGTGCGTGTGTGTTTGGTGTGCAGAAAATCCAGCTTTTCTCACTAGCAAGCAACTCAGCCTTCTGGCAATTGTAAAACACATACTGACTCCATCAAGACAAATAGTTCCAATTAAATCCAACAACACATTAAAAACACAGATTTCTCTATTGAGTATGAAAGGCCTCCATGATAGAATAGGATTTTAATGCACCCTGTGCCATTTAATTGCTTCATCACAGACCTATTTTGTATAAACATCACAAACTTGAAGCTTTCATATTAGTATGTCTACTGCAGACTGTTGTTAAATTTGATTAAAATTATTTATTTGTCCCTGAAGAGCCAATTTGAGGCAATAGAGTTTCCAAACACAAATGCACATACACAGTGCGTAATTGAAAAGATAAAACAATCTAAAAATAAAAATGTTACAATGTGCGCAAGAGTAAACAGCATTGGCCAACCTGTAGCTGGTCAACAATATCCAACACCACAAAAGGCACAATATGTCAGAATTGCTGTTGTATTTATCAGTCTATACATTTAGACTACATATAGTATATGGTCCATGCCTTGTAGTGTGGCTTAAAGCAGTCATGGACGACGTGTGTGGTCATCAATGACTGTTCTGCGCAACAGATCTTTGTTTTCGGTCTCATTTTAGAGCTGAACTTGACCTTGCAGTCATTTCTTTTTGCAGCAAATAAATTAAAGCGTTTAAATACTTTCCACTACTTTAAAATGACTGATTAATACATGTGTGGATTAATGTATTGATTAAGTTACTGATCTGTTGTCACAGTGAACGGTGGTTGGTCAACATGGACGGAGTGGTCGGTGTGTAACAGCCGGTGTGGACGGGGCTTCCAGAAACGAACCCGCAGCTGCACTAACCCCGCCCCTCTCAACGGAGGACTGCCTTGTGATGGACAGGCCATACAGAAACTGCCCTGCACCACACTGTGCACCGGTAAGTCTCTTCTAGTCCAATTTTATCCAGATTTATTCACTCTGTGCTATTTAGTTTTGCTAGTGTATCCATACTGTATTTATACTATATTTATCTTTGAGCTATTTTTATTATGGCCCCAAGATTTGACCTGCTCTGTCCTGCACTCAGCTTCTGCTTCATTCCACTTCTTTTTCTTTTTTTTTTACTTTTCCACCCTATATATGCTACAGTTTAGGTGATTTGGGTCATCTCTTGTTTCCTTTCCACATCTTTTCCCTCTAGTGGACGGTGTGTGGACAGACTGGAGTAAGTGGTCGGCCTGTGGGACAGAGTGTACCCAGTGGAGGAGGAGAGAGTGCAACAACCCAGCACCTAAAAATGGAGGAAAGGACTGCGATGGGATGGTCCTCCAGTCTCAGAACTGTACTGACGGACTCTGTATGCAAAGTAAGTTGACAATATTGAATGGACATAACTCCTGTAAATGCATTGAAGTTATACTATATATCATACCAACCCATATAAAATTAGTCTACTAATTCCAACAAATATCTTGCAGTGTCTGTTTCAGATGACAGCTGACTTGAAACAGAGGCAGGTCATTGGGGTGGTGATGCATGGTCAGATTTTTAGCCAAACAATTGAATCCATACTGAGAATTTTATAACTAAATTTAGTAGTATATAATTAGTATAATTAACCCTTAAAAGTTCTGTTAATAATAGCAGCAAAGGACTCTTAAAATCCCAGCACAAAATTCGTCTTGAATTAAAAAACTGCCACTTTGTCGGAAAATTTATCTAATTAATGACAACTTTTTAGATAAATCAGGTGTCAGTGGTGTCCAGCTAAACTAGTTAACTTAGCAGGCTTTGGCAAGCTTTCCAACACGGTTGTGCTGAGATGTTATACCTTGCAGACATGCAGTCATTCATACTCTTGGACATATAAATGTATATACGCATATGGACGTATACAATTATTGCAAAGGTCATTGCTTTGTGTTCTTTTTTATCTTTCATCTCCCTTGTGAATATATTTACTAGTCAGTGTTGCAGTAAAGTTTGGCAGTTTTCCTCTCCTTCCGGTCCCTCTCACTTCTCAACTTTCTTTACATTTTCAAAGCCTTCATCAACCATCTCCCTGTCCTCTCCTCCTCCCACTCTTTGCATTACTCAAGTCAAAAACACCTGTTTTATAAGGAAAGTAATGATAGATAATGATGTGGAACAGGCATCCACAATCCCCCCACAATTTAGTGATTCCTGACACCAGTAAGAAAAGAGTGTGGTCAATTACAAAACCGCATGGAAAATGTGGGCTGAGTCATAACGGCACAAACATAGCAGCAGCAGTTTTTCCAAGGTGAAGGCAATTATATTTGTTGACTTGTAGGAATACTGCTTGTTACTCCCTGTGCTCAGAGTAATTGGCAGACAAGCATCTGACGTGAAGAGAGAGAGGCCTGTCAGAGTGAAGAGAAAAGGTAAAAACAGAAAAATAGTACTTTTTGAAACAAGTGCACCTACTGTACACACTAGTGCTTGTAATTATGCCATCAGTTCTCATTAGTCTTTCTTTTAAAAATAGCTGCCATAAAGAGAATTTTCCTCAATGCAAGAATTATTTTTTGTAACCCGGATCACCTGTGTGTTCATCTGAAAGGTCTAGTGTTTAGTATTTAGTGGCATCTAGCTGTGTAGTTGCACATTGCAACTCAGTCGCTTCACCCTCCCTTTCGCCCCTAAACGTACCTATGCATATTATATTCCAGTTCTACCAACTGATCCTCCTAAATGTCAAAATTAAGCTGACCTGGTGATAAAATACAAACGCTGTAGATAGACAGTGACACGGACACCCCACTCATACAGTAGTGATACACTCATTTGAAAATGATTGCCTATTGTCCCAGACAATTTAGGGATAAAAAATACTTTTTCTAAAATGCTAAATAAAAGTATGGTTATTTATTACCTTCCATTGGTCGAGGCACTCCCATAGTCTTACTGATATTGATATTATTGGCTTGCCACCAGCAGAGACCAGAGACTGAAACTGAGTCCTATCCAAAGTGGCAAATAATAGTTATGCTCCTTCGATACAAAAGTAATTTTAATTGTTGATTTTACAGTTCTATGATATATCTTTCTGATTATGTCATATGCAGTTTTTGTCGCCTGTGTTTAACTTTAGTTTTATTGCTGCCTATTATTGTTATAATATTGTGGCTAGGATAGATTTTGAATCTCAAAGTCATTCCTGATCAAATAAAGGTTCAATAAATTAAATAGTAACAAGCGCGCAGTCAGGAGTTCCATTCAGGAGAAATATATCAGTGAGCCACACCAAGTGAACCGTTGATTGTGTGGGGGACTTCTCTCTGCAGCCCGAGGGGAGTGGATAGTATGGATGATTTAATAGATGGTCATGTCATGAGCAATGGAATAATATAATATAATCCCTCATAAAGCTTTGCCCGTAGGCATATTATTGACAGAACTTACTGTATATGCTGAGCCCTGCCCACTCCTTATGCAGTGTATCATATACTGTGTCTCTGGTCCATCAAAAGGATTCCCTGAGGCCTGTGAGGTATGGCCACAGAATCTGGGATAAAACCTAGAGAGGTATAGATTTAGGCTCATTTCCCCTGATTGATTTTCTGTCTTTAAAATAACTCCACAGACGTGGTTTTATGTCAGCACTAATGTTTCAGCTGTTTCCTGTAGCATTTACAGGAATCCATGAACTCTGTGTTGTGTGTGTGTGTGTGGTTGTTAGAGGGGGTTTCTGCATGCACAGCATTTATAGGTGGAGTATATTCCAAAGGCTTGAAGTGATTCCTGTATCACTCTTCTATTTGGTTTATTAACGATGGATCTTTTTAAAATGTGTGCTTTACATAGGCAACGGTTCATGTGTTAGATTTGTCTTTTACATTTAAACAGAAGATCTTCAGACTCCATTTAATGGAAAAACAGTACAACAAAGTAGTACTTTTTTAGGGTTTCAGAGTTGTGAATGAACTGATAACTGTCAATGTGTAGAGGGGGAGTTAATGTTTTAGATAGTGCTCTGTAATTGACTTTGTGCTCAAAAAGTACTTCACTCTACTCTCCCTTTTTCTCTCTCTCTGGTTCTCTCTCCACCAACACCTCTTACCTCTCTATTCATCTCTTCCAACGTCCCTCCCTGCCCTTTTTCTAAAGTTGTCCTGTTAAATCCTGAGAGGTAGAAATCCATTTGACCTCACTTCTGCCCTGTGTGGAGAGCCACCTCTCTTTTTGTGTGTTTGTGTGTTTATCTGAGAGTTATATCAGTGTGTGTCTGTGTGTG